GAGGTGGGGGACGGGGAGCCGGAGGGCGGGGAGAGGTGAGGGACTGGGGGGCGATGGGGCAGGAGGGGATGGACTGGGGGGCGATGGACAGGGAGGCAATGGACAAAGAGATGAGGAACAGGGAGATGAAGGACAGGAGGTGATGGACAAAGAGATGATGGACAGAGAGACGAAGGACAGGAGAAGATGGACAGGGAGGCGATGGACCAGGAGATGATGGACAGGGAGACGAAGGACCAGGAGGCAGTGAACAGGGAGATGACGGACAGGGAGATGAAGGACCGGGAAATGAACAACAGGGAGAGATGAAGGACCGGGAGATGATGGGTGGGGAAATGCGGACCGGGAGACAATGGCCCAGGAGCCGGGCAGGTGGGGAGCCCCGGACCCTGCAGAGCATCCCAGGTGCCGCCCCAGCGTCCTGCCAAGCTGCCCCCTGAAGCAGGGGGCTTGGCGTAACCAGCACACTGGGAAAAAAGTCCCTTTTTCTGCAGGCTGTTGAGCTTTTATCTGGAAACACGGGGGTTTAAATCCCTTCAAAATTTGAGGAGAAGCTCCTTCCCTGGGGCCGGGACAGACAGAGGTGCTTCCTCTGCAGGTGCTGATGGAGTAATTCCCCCCAACACCCACCCTCGCAGTTTGAAAACTATATACAAAGCAAGTATTTCCACAAATAGCAAATAACAGTTCCTCAGCCTCGGAACTTGAACAGAAACCTCTCCACGCAGCTCACCAGAAACTATTAACAAGCCGTAATCAATTCCTAATTTTGCTAATAATCTTCAGGACTAGATGGCCGCAGGAGAGCGCGGCGGAGGGAGGCTCCCGCGCCGAAGAGCCGGGGCTGCGCTGTGCCGCGTCCCCCCCGCGGCACCCGGCGCTGCTTCTGCGTGCCGCCCCGAGTTACTGATTAACTCCGACCGGGAGCAGGGGAGAAAAGGAACATTGCTGCCCGCTAGGCTAAAGGAAACCCTCCGACAAAGCCAAACCCTGCTAACCGTTATTATTGACGTTGTTACAAACATGTTTGTTACTATTAAGATGTTTGTTGGGTTTGGCACGGTAAAAGAAAATAACCAACACGAGTTGGTGGTATCCTCTTCCTAAAATGTGCCCCAGATATCCCAATCTATTCACTTGGAGCGGGATGTGGGATACCTCGCTCCACGGGTGAAACACCAGCTCGTTTAGGTCATTGCCATCCTACGGAGGGTCTTCCCAAAATCCCCGCTGCCAGAACAGTCCAAGTGCTTACTCATAACGCTGTATTTCCCACCATAAATCTGCGTTTGGCTTCTAGCGCGGCAACGAGCAGGTTATTGCCTCTGTTGCCCAGTTAACACAAAGGAGACGCCGCCTCCTGCGCGTTTCGCCTGGGTCGTGTTTGATTGCCACAGGAGTCCAAAATCCATCGCCCCTTGGGACCTCGACCGGGCGGTCTCGCTGCGAGCGTGGCCCCGCGGTTACCGTCCCGCCGCCCGCAGAAAATAGTGCAGAGATGAACTCCAGACCCTTCGGTCTGTCCACAAATTAAAGAAAAAACAGCCAGGGTTCTCACTGCATGGCAGCCTGCCCAGCTCTCGCTAGTCCGTCTGGCTCACACACCGCTCTTTCTTGGGAGGGAAAATAAAATAAGAGAGGAAAATGGAAACAGAGCCTGCACACCGTATTTCAGTATTGAATTTCCTGAGGAGATAGCGAAATCTGGGAGAGAGCCGGAGCGCTCGGCCCTGCGGTGGCTACGGAACCCCGCGCGCTGTAGCCCAGCGCTCCCGCTCGTCGCCCGAGAGCAGCGGCTGCCCCTCGGCGCTGGCTCCGGCCGGGCTGCGCGCAGCCCTCGCCGGGCACGGGAAGGAGCTGCCGGCCTTCCCTCTGTCCCTGCAACCCAGGTAAAAGAGGCAAGGGGCACACAAAGAGCTTTATTTGTCCTCTTCTGACAGCGGCGGCTCTTTCTGATAAACACCCTCTTCTTTCTGCAGCGCCCGGGGGAGTTTCGTGCCCGGAATACTGCCAGTGGGATGGAGGGCAGCGCCTCGGGACAAGCGGCCCCCGAACCCGAGGCGCGGGTTTGCTTCGTGAAGGCGAATCGCGCTGCGGCAGAGGAGCAAACTGCTGATCCCGGGGGCCGGTTGCAGGGGGAAATCCCCCGGAGGCTGCACGATAAAGCTGATTAACGGTACCGCTCGTTAGCTGCGGCTGCTGCTGAGAAGCTCTGTACTGGGGATGCAGTAACGACGACTATGTTTAGTCCATCTTTTTAGCTAGTAATGAAGACGCCGCAGAGGGGGTTAAAGGAATCACTAGTTTTCCTTTGGCTGTTCCAGAAAAAGGCATTTCTAATATCAATAATCCTGGTAGAAGCCATTTCTTAGAAACCGCAGGCTCGGGGGATCACACCAGAAGCGTGCCTGCCCCATGCGTGCGCCGCGTTTACTGCGGAGGGGAGAACTGCAGACCCCGAAGGCTGGGGCTGGTCACCTGCCGTCCCTCTCTTCTTCGCCTCGCTGAGGCCATCGCACCTAAAATTCCGCAATCTCAACCCGAGAGCCGGCGGCTCTTTACATCCCCCGTACCGCAACAAGTCCTACGAACGGGTCGCTCGCTGAAATAGCCATTTTCCACTCCGGCTGCATCACTCAGCAGCTCTGGGCTTTCCCGAATACCTTTTGTTTGTACATTTGTCCCTGACTGCTGGGAGCTGTCACCCCCCGCCAGCCGAGAGGGGGCTGGGGACGTTCACGGGGGTCCCGGGGCTGTCCCCGGCACGGGGCAGCACCCTTCGGGGTGTCCCCGGCCCCGGAGCTCACCGGCCGACGGGCCGAGCCGCCCTCGCCGCGTTCGAAGGGCTGATAAGAGCGTCACGCTGAATGACAACTCGATGCCTATAAAAGTCGTTGCCTTTCCTCTTAGTAGTGTCCCCAGTTACTCAAGAAGGCGCTGATCCGCAGCGTTGGGGCTTCGATCCAGGGGATGAAGCTGTGGACTCGTTTTTGTGAGGAAGCAGTGATTTTCGTACCACGTTTTGATGCCACGTGGGAGAAATAAAGACTTTCCCCCATAGAGCTGAGGATAAAAAAACTCTGCAGCTCCCGTTTGCTTTGGTTCGCTGCCCTCAGCAGCTCGCCCAGCACCTCTGCTGCAGACCTGCAGCAGCGAACAGGCCCAAGGTGGCTTTGTGAAACCGAATCGCGAGGTTATTTTGGGAAAAACAAAGCGTTTGGAGAAAAGAAAATACCTTAAATCAGTCTACGTGCGTGTTTATTTGACCCAGAGCCCCGCCGCGGCCCGGCGCTGCACGAGGTGGGGCTGGGGGCCGATGCTTGGGCACATACAAGCATTTCAGAGCGGACCCCATGTTCAGAGCCGCTGACCAGCCCCGTCCTTCCCCAGCAGGCTGTGATGCACCCCCGCCTACAACCCCAGCGACACCAGCTCCCGACGAAACGGGAAGGGCCGTTACGAGCGGGCTGCCCCAGCCGCAGTCCCCGCTGCTCTCACCGACCGGCTTAACCACGGCAGCAAACCCGCCGGCGCAGTCTGGGGGTTCGTTTGCGGGGCTGGCGCGCCTGGGGGCAGAAAGGTAACAACGGGACGTCAAATCCAGGGGGGTTTCAGACCCACCTGCCCACCAGCGCGCCGTTGTTTTCTGCGGGTACGAAGGGTGAAAGGCAAAGAGCAAAGCGCCTGTTCCTTCCGGAAATTATTTCTTTCAAAAAGCTTGTTTTTATTACTTCCGTTCAAGCACAACGGGGAAGAACAGCCGTCAGGCTGGGGCGCGCTGCCATCAGATACCATCTTTAATATCCGCGGGAGCAGGAGCGCCGGGGCTGTGCGTCACAGCCGCCCAAAGAAATTCAGCCTGCTCCCTCCCTGCCCACGGCGGGGGTGCGTCACCGCAGCCCTGTCCCTCTGGCTGTCGCTCCTCACCCGGGGAGGACAGGGACAGGCCACAAGGTGACGGCGGGTGACAAGCCAGCGGCAGTTGCCGTGTTTCTCCCGGTACCACCAGAACTAAACCCCAACGCCCCACATCTCGGCACCAGGCGGAACCGCGGTGCCACGTCTGCGGTGTGCCGGGTGCGACAGCCGCCGTGCCGGCGCGCCGGGCGCTGCGGCGGTTTTGGAGGCGGTGGTGCCGCAGGGGTGCTCAGGGAGGCCAGGGTGCAGTGCTAGCGGGGGTGCTGGGTGCGGAGCTGTGGGGATTGGGTTAGTGGGGGTAGGTGCAAGTGTAGGTGCGCGTTTAGTTCCAGGTGCAGGCATAGGTGTAGATGTAGGTGCGGGTACAGGTGCAGGTGTAGGTGCAGGTATAGGTGTAGGTGCAGGTATAGGTTTAGGTGCAGGTATAGATGCACGTGCACGTGTAGGTACAGGTGCATGTGTAGGTGTAATCAGGCACAGGTGCAGGTACAGGTGCACATACAGGTACAGGTGCAGGTGTGGGTGTAGGTACAGGCATAGGTGTAGGTGTGGGTATAGGTGCTGGTGTAGGTGTAGGTGCGGGTAAAGGTTTAGGTGCAGGTATAGATGCACGTGCAGGTGCAGGCGCAGGCGCAGGTGTAATCAGGCGCAGGTGCAGGTGTGGGTGTAAGTACAGGCGCAGGTGTACTCAATCAGGCGCAGGTGCAGGTGTGGGTGTAAGTACAGGCGCAGGTGTACTCAATCAGGGGCAGGTGCAGGTGTGGGTGTAAGTACAGGCGCAGGTGTACTCAATCAGG